CACGGCGGGGACGAGCGCCCGCAGCCCCCACCCCGCCTCTCACGAAGACTTCTGCGAGAAATAAAGTATCACATAGGGTGCCTCTGTAAAGGTCTAAGTGGTATCTACAGGATATCTCGGTCAGGTCCCTCTAGAATGCGTCCCCGTTCATTTTACAAGGGAAACAATATCGGGAATGCCTGCAGTGCGTTCCGTAGCCGTGCGTTATTTTTCTGAAAAGTGGAGCAACTGATTGCAATTATTATATAGCTTTTCTTTTGTATATTATTAATTTCGAACAATAAAGCAATCCATTTAATCTCGCCAGTTCTGTTTTCAGTCCTCCTGCACTACGTGGTGCTTCGTTCGATGTTGGGGCTGCAAGCGCTGCGGCTCAGCATGTGGACGGGTGTGTGTGCACACGCGTATCTCTATGCTGCTGCATTTGTGAGTTTTCACGTGACGTGTTGTTATTGCCGTACTGTATTGTAAATAATTTAGATATTTTTCTGTTCATCACAGGTATTACGAAAAACTATAAAAAGCATCCAGAGATTTAATTACATGACTTTGTCCTTTGAAAAAATACTGAAAATACGAAGGGATCAGGTCCCTGGCCTATAGGCCAGTTTTTCCTATACTTGAATTAATGAAAGACACTTTGAATGATTACAGGATCAGGTCCCAAATTTTCATAACTGGCCTAATGTTTTTTGTGCAATTCCTAAGAATAGAAAACATTTTGTGTTGTGTGACAATAAAATGAGAGCTTGAGCTTATTACCTCAAATTTATATAACATTTTTATTTCTTTTCCAAAGCTGGAGTTTTGCAAAAGAAAAGGAAAAAAATTACAAGAATGTTTTCTTACCTAAACAAGGTCTTGTTCTCCGAACGTATGTATCTGCTTAGTATATTATCAGTACCAGTGGAGTGAGTTACACATGTTAATGGAATTACTTACATGCCTGTGCTAAAGCATTTGCAGGGTAGAGGGTCAAATGAAGACTAAGCTTTGGAAAAGGCAGAGGTATTTAATAGGATATTTCAAAGTGAATCTCTTCAGCTGTTAGCCAGGAAATAGTATTTGGAGTGGTCCATACGGATCCACTATGTCTACCTGCCATATTGTGTATTTTCAGTGAAAACATCTAACTTAGGTTCAAATACATCAACCATCTAAATGCTGGAAAAATGGGCATTGAACACAATAGTACACCAAAGGAAAAGGAAATCTGGTCAACTGCTAGGTGGCTGGTATTTTTCTTATTCATGGGAAATGTGCTGCACATATAGCACTTTCACGTTTAATGTCGTGGGAGAAGTAACAAAATTCCACAGAAGTAAGAGGACTATTAAGATATCAATCAATCCAGGGCAGATTTCAGTCAGCGTTTTGTTTTTGTCAACATATCAAAACTTGTTTTGATCTTATTTTGAGTGTGACACTTATGGTCTTTTTAGTTCTGTCAGTTTATTTTCCAATTCATGCCTAAAGACCAAAGCATTAGAAGGAAAGGTCAGGAGATGTGGTTCTAGTCTGTATCTTGCTGTTCACTGTCATGCTGTACAATCTCTGGCCAATAGCTTTAGCAGATGTGCCTCAGTTTCCCTGTTAGCAAAATAAAAACACTTTCGGAGTGCTGGTATTTGAGGTGAAAAGCACAGCAGATATGCAGTGTGTATTGCCTTTACCGTAACAGTGGAAATATTCAGTCAACTAGGAAGTCAGAGGGAAAATCTGGGCAACAGGAATAATAATGGCTTTTGAGAAAGATCTCGGACATGCAAGGGATGACACACAAATGAATGGAGATGAATAGGGAGCGGAGCACTGTAAGGAAATAAGAAATTGCAGCCATGTGAGCAGCCCAGGCAAAAGGCAAGATCAACTGCAGTGTGGTTGGGAAAACAGGGAGAAATCATATGGCACCACCAGGCAGTGGTAGTGGAGCTGAGCTACAGCCTTCATAGTGCCCCCAGTATCTCTGCCCTCCCAGCTTGAGTAGCCTCCAGTGGAGAAAAAAAGTATTTCCCATACTATGTCCTGTTGTCTTGCACCGTTTAACTAGAGAAGAACATAGCAACTGCATCAGGTCAAGCTGGAGGTCTCTCTTGCTTAGCATCCTGTCTTCAATAGTAAGAGTGAGTGACCTTTCTTAAAAGCTGACATTTCACCCTGGGCTGCTTTTGCCCACTGACAGCAGTTATGTCGATTTCATCGTGGACTCGATTTGTAAGGTTAAGTGTGTATATAAATGTTTGCAGGACTTCCTTACTGTAAGCCTGTTAACTAAGGGCCCAGGCCTGCAGATTCTTTTAATGTAAGGATTTCTGAGTAAGGACCGATACCGACCACTTTTAGAAATTGTTGAAATGTGGAACCATGTAAAGGTCACTTTAAAGCAGTTTTAAATTACCAAAACTTCAGACTTACACAATCTATAACTAACATATGGCTATTATTATAAAACAACTGAAATTTAAACTTGATGAGCTTTCATTCTTAAATATCAACCCACTCTGTTATTCAATAGAACAGAAGAAATAGTTTAAAGCGGTATCTTCAGACAAACTTGGGCCAAATCTACTTATTACTATAAAAGAGAGTTTGGAGGGAAAATGTGGCCCTACTGAATCGGTGGAGTGTTGCCACTGATTTCAGTAGGACAGGATTTGAGCATTTAGTGGAAAAAGTGAAAAAGCCAATTCTAAGACACGCGGCTTTGTCTCATTTATTTAAGCGTGTCGTCAAAATCTATTGTTCATCCTCAGTGTGTGTATATGGGCATTGTTTAAAAGAACAATGCAGAGTGAACATTTTAAATACATGGGAGCTGTCTAGGAATTAGCACTTGTCTATGAAATAAGAAACTCACATAAATAAATACTACATATTTATGTAAGAGGTCTTTTTTCCACATATAAATTTGACCAGTCTGTTCCACTTCTTATTTGCATAGAAGAATTTTCTTTAATCCAGGAGGCGCCACACATAAAGTAGCTAATTATCCATATAAAGGCATGTATACATATCCACAGGTTTTAACTAGCATCTGACTTCTGAAAAGCCATGGAAAAAGCTATTGGCTTTGCCTGTTTCATGAAAGGAGCATTTTACACCTTGGCACAATTTCTGTGGGTGTCAGCTCCACCTAAAGGTACTTCCCTAGACTGTACCTTCAGCAGTACAGATGTATGGTGACACCATATACTCTGTTGTCTCCCCTTCTTTCTTTCTACTCCATTGTCTTCCGTTCTAAAGACGATAAGACAAACCCATACTTCTGGCTCACACTGTATTAACAACAGCCATGAGTGTTGTGTGGTATTGTAAGTTGATTCAAGCTAATTTGATTTTTCTAGGTGTGCAGCAAATATAACAGATTCATTAGTCCTTGGCATAGAAACTTTCCGAAGAAGCTGATGTGTTTGTTTAGGCTCGAGCTCCGGCTCTCGGGCACTTGGAAAGGGCAGAGGCAGAGTGGTCTGAGCAGAGTGGCTGCTCTTGTGTCTGGCCCTTGAACAAAGGGAATAGGGGGTTGGAACTAGATGATCTTTAAGGTCCCTTCCGAGGCAAACCATTCTATGATTCTATGAATTCGGTCCCATGGGACCAAATATTGTATAAATAGCCTTTCTTCATTAAAAAAACAAACAAACTACTAAATGGTGTCAAAGGAAGGCATCTATTCCAGCATAGATAACACACAGGAAAGTGAAACTCTGCAGTCTTTATTTAAAGGAAGCGTTACGTGTCACACTGACCAGAGAGATGCAAAAGAAACCGGG